TCATCTGCTATCAGATGGAGGAACGTCGTGACCTCGTCAACGGACCACGGTGTGCTTTTTTTTGCCATTTCTAGCTTCTCTGTTTTCAAAAATGCTGCAAGCGTCACATTATATGCGACGCTAGGGATGATCAACTCGCGCGAGAATTGTGACGATTCTCTCTGACCAATCAGCAGTCCGCCCAGTTGTTGGCCCGCTAGTGTGGCCTCGATAGAACCACAATTTTCTAGGGCCAGAAAAGAGGTGAAAAAGTGGCCCCGCGCCGTGCCGCGCCGGGACTAGGCCTAGTGGAAGCACAACCAAAAAAGGGGACGGCACGACACGGCACGCTTAAAGCGAGCTCCGCGCTGCAGTGGAACTGCGCCATTAGTCCCCAGTATCCTAGTCTCTGTCTGACTTTCCCTACCAAACTCGTCCAATTAGTTTTCCCTCCCCCTTCATTGTCAAATTGAATCCCGAGTATCTTTTGTTCGGTCTGGGTCACAGTCAGGGGAAGTCCTGTCTTCTCAGTCTCTGTCCACGGTCCATAAAATTGGGCTTGCGTCTTGCTTATGTTCAATTTTGACCCAGAGGCCTGTCCAAACCAGTCAGTTAAGTCCAGCGTCCTGTTGACAGATAAAAGATCAGTACATAAAAGGTTGATGTCATCCATATATAAGATACATTTAGTTTGAAGGCCCCCGCTCCCTGGAATATGTACCCCAGTGATTTGTTGGTCCCTTCTCAAGATCTGTGCAAGTGGTTCTATACAGATAATGTAGAGGAGGGCTGATAGTGGACAACCTTGACGGACACCACAGTTTATATTGACTGCTTTTGTCAGATGCCCATTTACAATAAACTTGCTGGTAGTGCCCCGATACAGCAGTGCCACCCAGTCTATAAACCTCTTCGGGAACCCCATTTGTTTTAATACCTGGAAAAGGTACTGGTGTGAGAGCCGGTCAAAGGCTTTCTCAAAGTCTAAATTTAGGACTACAAGCTGAAAGTTTCTATCTCTCGCAAAGCAGATGGTGTCTCGGATCAATAGGAGGCTGTCTGTGATCTTCCTCCCCGGCACGGCACAGGCTTGATCCGGGTGGATCAGCTCTTCTAAGAATAAAGACATACGTGCTGCTAAGAGTTTGCTAAAGAGTTTGCAGTCAAGGTTTAAAAGTGTTATAGGTCTCCAATTTTTTAGGTCCGTCTTGTCCTTGTTTTTGTATAAGAGTGTCACTATCCCTGTTGTGAAACTGTCAGGAAGTCGGCCTAGACTTTCAAAGTCCGTAAATACATCAAGAAGGTCAGGTGCTAGCAAATCCCAAAAGGTCAGGTAGAATTCCAAGGGAATCCCATCTTCCCCTGGCGATTTCCCTGTCTTGAAAGTTTTCAAGCATTCGTTCAATTCTTCAATTTTAAAATCTTGGGTTAAGATAAACTTTTCCTCCACTGTTTTTTCGATAAAAGGTAAAACTTCTGTCATTATTTCCTGATTCACAGTTTTTTTTCTATAGAGTTCACTGTAAAATGTCTCAACAGTTTCTATTATTTCCAATGTCGTTTCAGCTGTGGACCCATTTTCAGTTTTCAGCCTAAAAATGCCGGCCCCCTTATTTATAATTTTTTTAAAGAAGAATCGGGTGCACTTTTCTCCTTCTTCTATTTCCCTCTCTTTACTTCTTAAAATGACACCTTTACTTTTAATTTCTGCTAAAACTGACATTTCTGTTTTAATTTGTTTTATTTCTTCATTAAAGTCCATCCCTTGTTGGTTTAATTTAAAGTATCGCTGGAGTCGTTTCTGCAGTCCCATCATGCGTCTATTGTCCCTATGTTTATTTATTTTACCTGCCTGTCTAAAGAAGGTCTGAGTCCTTCTTTTCACCATTTCCCACCACTGTGCATGTGTATCGTATGAGTCTTGAAGGGTCTGCCACTCTTGGTACTGCTCCCTATACTGTCTAACTAAGTCCCCATCTTCCAGAAGGGAGCAGTTGAGCTTCCACAAACCTCTTCCTGCTGTCACACCATGAGGGAGTGAGAGGGTGCAGGAGAGCATTGTGTAATCAGAAAAGAAGACGGGTGTCAATCTAGCATCAGTCGGTGGGCTGTCTCGTGTTAAGATATAATCTATACGAGAGGCTCTGGTGCCATCACTACTGAGCCAGGTGAAACCCTCTTCCCTAGGATGCATGGCTTTAAAGCAGTCCGTTAGCTTAAAGTCTTTGCACATTTTCTGTAGTAAGACCGATGTTTTATCAAGTGTAAAATCATTTCCTGTTCTTCTCCTATCACTTTTGTTCAAAATACAGTTAAAATCTCCACCTACAACTAAGGGTGCCCTACCTAGCATGTGGGGTTGCAGCTCTTCTAAAAGGTCATACCTATCATTCTTGTCGTTAAAGCCATAGATATTTAAGACGTTAAAGTCCTTTCCCATGAAAGTCAAGTGTACTAGAAGTGCCCGACCATCTTTCACCACAGTGCTGCCCTTCACCAAGATCTGGGGGTTTTTGATTAAAATGGCTACTCCATCATTTTTGTTTTGATTGGATCCACTCCATAACGATGTTTGTGGCCATAGCTCCTCCCATTGCCTATAGTGGGTTAAAAACGGCAGGCTGCATTCCTGTATTAGAAAAACATCTGACTTATAAGAGTTGAGAAAGGATAAAACAGTCTGGGCTCTAACTCTCGACTTCACACTTCTCACATTTATGGTTGAGACTGTGAGTGTCATGAGTAAAGTTAAGATTAACAGGTACAACATTTTGAGCAACTAAAAGGGTTTATGCTGTTAAAACAAAAGATTGTTAGCCAATTTCATGTGAGTCTAGCTCTTCTTTTACTCTTATGGGTGAAAGCTGACGGGGTTGCCCTTCTTTTTCCTTTCGGACTCTTGGGGTAGGCCTCTGACGCAATCTTGCGTCGAAAGTTGAGTTCTTTGGGGTCGATTGCAGAACTACGTTTAAAAACGATACCTGATTTGGGGAGGTGGGGAGGAATACTCTGGATTCCTCCAGAGATGAACTGTCTGGGGAGTAGTCAGTTCTTCCCCTCTTCTCTGAGACCATGGGCGAATCAAGGGACAATTCTGATACATGCCTCTTGGACTGCTGTGCGTTGGGGGCGGGGGCGTCGTTGCTGTCGCTCTGCGGCTGAGTGTCAGTCTCCCCTTCACTTTCAGGCACAGCTCCGCCTCCTTCCTGCATTGCATCCCCTCCACCCTCCATTGGCTGGGCACTTACCAGTCCCTCCCCTTCCCCTGTGGGAGAATCAGACGACAACCCTGACAAACATTCTGCTAAAGGCCTCATGGACTGCTGCACATTGGGGAGGGGGGGATCATTGCTATCCCTCTGCGGGTGAGTGTCAGGTTCCTTTTCCTTTTCAGTTTCAGGTATAGCTCCGCCCTCTTCCTGCGTTGTAACTTCTCCACTTTCTATTTGCGGAGTATTTACAGGTCCCTCCCCTTGCCCCTCCTCATCTGCTCCCCTTTCTCCATTCACAGGATTTGGGGGGAGGTTTGCATTTTCTGTCCCCGCCTCTTCAATTAGCCCCTCACCTGTTTCCTTTTGGCTGCCATTTTGTCTACTCACTCTTGTAGCCTTAAGCTTGTTGGCAAAAGACTGAGGGCAATCTCTGAAGAGGTGGTTGGATTCTCCACAAAGATTGCACTTTCTGCCATTTGTGCACTCCTCAAAAATATGCCCAATTTGTTTGCATTTGCGACACACCATCTGCTGGCATGCCTCCGCCAGGTGCCCATGCTCTCCACACTTGCGGCAGAGTTTGGGCTGTCCCTGGTAGTGAATGTAGCCCCTGTTGTTCCCCAGTACTATCATAGATGGGAGTTGTTTAAGGCCTTGAAAGCCTTGGGGGTCTTGCCCTTGTTGAATGGGGACCCGCCAGGCACAGTTCCAAATGCCGTCCTCATCTCTCACTTTGGTAGCCGGGCCTTTTACAGTGCAGTATCTGCCCAGCCAAAAGTGAATGTCTTCTGCAGTTACTGTCTCATTGAACATCCTGACAATGACTACTTTCAAGGCATTGTCAGTTAGTTTCTCAACAGCAAAGGCAAAAAACTGGGCTTTTACAGTTTCAAATTTAGTCCAAAATTCTCTAAAAGCCGTTGGGGTACGGAAGCTAACATCGAAGCCTTTGTTAAAAGGAAGGGTGACGATGCAGTTCAGATCCTCAGGGGAGAAGTTCAAAGCTTTTTGAATGAGGTTCCTGGAGAAGTCCAATCTGGACAACGCCAGCTGCCTCCCATCCTTCTCCACAAAAGTGAACCTCACACTATGGTGCCTCTGCATGCCGGCATGGTTGGCCGACATGTTAGAGGCACCACACACTTAATTGGATCTGAGTTAAACACAGCAGACAGTGATCACGGACCATTAAATACTTAAAAGAGGGTACTCACACTTCCCTGGTTCAGCTGCCGGGGCCAGACGATGAGGTGTGCAACCGATGTTCCAGGTAAGTTTCTCCCGGGTCCTTCCTGGTTCAGTTGTTGGGGCCAGAGGATAAAGTTTGCAACCTATGATGTTCCCAGATCTGCAAAGACAGTGAATAACAGAGGAACAATGCACCAATACAAAACAATACAATACAATATCCTCCCAAATGAGGAGCAGAAAACAGTGCCACAACAGGCAAAAGTTTTCCTTCCAAAGGGAGGTGACCGCTGTCTTAGCCAAAAGACCAAGAGCTGATAAGAACAGATTTTTTTCTTTTGGGAAAATTTTTATTGACACTTAATTCATGCACTTTTCATATTTACATCACATTTTTGTCACACAGGTGTATTTTGAGCAATCATATAATAAATGAATGTACACTGTAAGATTTTATTAAGACATCAGACCCATTTTCATAAAAGCATCGCCTTTCATTAAAAACATTGTATACCTGTCATATGTAAACGATTTTCCTTTTAAGGTCTTTAAAAAGGGGGTGTAAAGTGCTGTGCAGGAGCGCAGTGAGTCCCTGTCAAGGGGAGCTCATCCCACTCCCCTTTAACAGGTTGTGTCTCTCTGAGTCTTGTCAAGGTGCTCAGAGGAGACCCCCACCCTGTTGCTCCTTCCCACCTGTCTTTCCTGGAGAGTCGGGCCTGCGCTGCTTTGACCTTTCCCGTGTGGCTCCGACTCCTTCGTCCGAATGAGCACAGAGGCGATTCTTCTTTGTGGCTGTGTCCTGGGCGTGCCGCATGTCGCTGATTTTATTGTTGCTGCAGCCATCCGGATCACAGCCACGGGGGGGATCTGCATGTGCCTTCTTACCAGCAAGTTTCTGGAGGTCCATATGGCGTCTTTGATGGCAGCTAGGGTGAGCCATTGCTTAGAAAAGACCCTAGAACAGTCTTGTTTTTGGCTCACCCCATACATTACCAGCTGTGCTGTGAGGACCTCCCTTGCCGGCAAGCACGGGAATTGTAAGGAGTCGGCCTTTGCCCACTGGTCTACGGCAGCGCTGCACTCCCAGAGCAGATGCCTCACCGTCTCAGGTGCGCCACAGCCTGGTCGGGGGCAAGTTGGGTTTGCCGCCATGCCCCGGGAGTGCATTACGGACCTGACTGGGAGGATCTCATGAGCCACCATCCATGACATATCTCGGAGTCTGTTTGTCAGAGTGGGATGGTTCACGTTGCACCAAACTGTTGAGGGCTCACCGAAAGCGAGCCCGTGCACTGGACTCACTGGTTCTCGCTCCTGCACAACAGAGAGAAGGGAGCGATGATTAGGTAAAATGTGCAAACCCTCCTGCTCAAGCTGAAGTTTCTTTAAAAATGTTTGTATAAAAGCATAAGGTGGTGGCAGGTTAAAGGACACTGGTACTTTGAGGTCAATTGGTAAGATCTTTATCCTTCTTAAAAAGGTCCCCATCCAGAATCTTGTCATTGCCGCCGTCTTTGGGTTTTTGGAGGGGGCAGTGGCAGCGTAGATGTGGAGTGCTGCATATCTGCTTCCTAGAAACAAGTGGAGGTCTGGAACTCCTTTCCCCCCTTTCTGTTTTGACTTTTTCATCTCCTTTCTTGTTATCCTTTCCCACTTGGAGCCCCACAGAAAATAAAATATTGCTCGTTCTAGCTCTAGAAGCACTCTCCTGGGTGGGATAAAAACAGAACCGACCAGTAGAAGCAGAGGTAAGATCACTGCTTTGATGATTAAAACCTTGCCTTCCATGGTCAGTCCTCTAAGTCCCCAGTATCCTAGTCTCTGTCTGACTTTCCCTACCAAACTCGTCCAATTAGTTTTCCCTCCCCCTTCATTGTCAAATTGAATCCCGAGTATCTTTTGTTCGGTCTGGGTCACAGTCAGGGGAAGTCCTGTCTTCTCAGTCTCTGTCCACGGTCCATAAAATTGGGCTTGCGTCTTGCTTATGTTCAATTTTGACCCAGAGGCCTGTCCAAACCAGTCAGTTAAGTCCAGCGTCCTGTTGACAGATAAAAGATCAGTACATAAAAGGTTGATGTCATCCATATATAAGATACATTTTGTTTGAAGGCCCCCGCTCCCTGGAATATGTACCCCAGTGATTTGTTGGTCCCTTCTCAAGATCTGTGCAAGTGGTTCTATACAAATAATGTAGAGGAGGGCTGATAGTGGACAACCTTGACGGACACCACAGTTTATATTGACTGCTTTTGTCAGATGCCCATTTACAATAAACTTGCTGGTAGTGCCCCGATACAGCAGTGCCACCCAGTCTATAAACCTCTTCGGGAACCCCATTTGTTTTAATACCTGGAAAAGGTACTGGTGTGAGAGCCGGTCAAAGGCTTTCTCAAAGTCTAAATTTAGGACTACAAGCTGAAAGTTTCTATCTCTCGCAAAGCAGATGGTGTCTCGGATCAATAGGAGGCTGTCTGTGATCTTCCTCCCCGGCACGGCACAGGCTTGATCCGGGTGGATCAGCTCTTCTAAGAATAAAGACATACGTGCTGCTAAGAGTTTGATAAGAACAGATTTTTTTATTTTTTTTATTATAACAAATCTTCAATTTACATCATTCTTATACACAGTTTACAAACAAGTAAACAAAGGACATTCAATACAAACACATATATCACTTTTACTTTTCATGTTGGTAATAACCATTAGGTGATCTGGTCTTCACCCCACCAGCCCTAAACCCCCCTTCCATCTTTCCAAAGCGGCGTGTTGTCCCCATTTCAGAATGTCCCTCTCCATTCTCCCCTTCAAATCTGCCCTTACTTTTCCTATGATGCTGCAGCATTTGTTCTTTACAACATCCTGCCTAGCCAGCCACAGATTTCTCTTCAGCAGGCTTACCACTAGCCAAATGGGGAACATTGCCCAATATTCACCAGGACCCGAGCCCCTTTCGATCCCATCCCATGTCATCTTAAGACCAGGAAAACTCTGTCCTAACCACCCTTCCACTCTTCTCCATGCTCCCCGTGCGAAAGGACAGTCCCACATGACATGTCTGATGGTCTCTTCATCCTTACAGTCTGGCCTAGGGCACACCGGAGACCTTGCCAATCCATGACGGTGCATGATTTCCCTCACTGGCAGGCACCTAAGCAGGCACAGCCAGTTAAGGTCCTTTAGTCTATTGTCTAGTCCCTTCGGCTGGATCCTCCTCCACACTTTGGATGGTATTCCAATGACAGGACCGACATTGATTTTCTCTCTGGCTTCTTTATATAGGGTTCTGTGATTGAGTTTCACCTCTGGCCCGGCAGCCTCCGGGTGAGCCCGAAGCCACCTTGCTGCATGGCGGTAGTGCCATGGCTGCTGTTCCGCTCTGGGCCCCAAATTGCTCCAGGCCATAAGCTCTCTTGCTTGATAAGAAAAGAAAAGGCGGATAAAATAACCAGAAGGATGTACTACTGGGCCTGATACTTCCCTACATAAAGTCGAAACAAAGATGCAGTCCATCTTCAGAGTTAAATGTGGTACATCTCTCCCCCCTGCTTCGACCCCAGCCAGCATGCGGCCTCTTGCCACATACTCGTATCTCCCACCCCATATGAAGCCAAACACGAGGCGCATGAGAGGCCTCCTCATGCTGACCGGCAACGGATATATGTATGCGAGATATAGGAGGGATGGCAATATATCTACCTTCAGCACTAATACCTTCCCTATGAAGGTCAGCTGCCTACTCTTCCAGAGAGACACTTTCCTCTCTACTGCCTCAAGCCGTCTTGCCCAACTCAGGGAAGCACTTTTAGTAGACTCAAAACTGACCCCCAGAACTTTTATAGGCCCTGGGCAGAAAGCAAGACCCCCTGGTGCATCTATCCTTTCTCTCCATTTCCCAAAAAACTTCACCGAGGACTTTGCACAGTTAAGCTTGGAACCGGATGCCCTGCCGAAGTCCTCCATGATTTGCAGCGAACGAATAAGGCATTCATCCCTGTCCAGCAGCAAAGTGGTGTCATCTGCATACTGGGACAGTTTCACCCGTAACCCTCTGCTGCCAGGCACTAGAAAACCTCTGACCCCTGGGTCTGCCCTAATGGCTGCCGCCAAAGGCTCCATATAGAGCACATATAGCACTGGTGAGAGAGGGCACCCTTGCCTCACACCCGATTGTAACCGGAAAAAATCGCCTAGGTATCCGTTCACTACTACCTTGCTCCCCACGTCCATGTATAATGTGCGCAACCACCTTATAAAGACTTTACCAAAACCTAGCCTCTCCAGAATGCTGAACATAAAACTCCACTGCACCCTGTCGAAAGCCTTGGTCTGGTCAAGAGCAACCAGCATGAGTGGCAGGTTTCTGTCTTCTGCCCAAGCTACAGCATCCCTTAGGAGCTGCAGGTTCCATCTCGTTGAGCGCCCTGGCACCGCACATGTCTGGTCAACATGAACCACATGGGGCATTGCTTCGCCTAGCCTATCAGTGAGAACTTTTGCCAAGAGTTTATAGTCCACACACAGCATGGTCAAAGGTCGCCAGTTACCTATTTCAGTGCGATCCCCCTTCTTATACAGGAGGGAGATCACCCCGGTGGCTAAAGACCCGCTCATTTCTCCTGCCTGCAGTACCTCTGTCAGCACCTCCAACAATACTGGCCCTAATATGCTCCAGAACTTTGCATAAAATTCCACAGGTAAGCCATCAATTCCTGGCACCTTACCCTTGTTCATTCTGTTGAGCGCACCCTCCAATTCGCTAACTGTTAGAGGGACCTCTAAAGCCTGCACTATGTCCCCTGGAACCTGGCGATCCAGCAGTTCCAGGAAATCATCCCCTCTTCCCACATCTTTCTCCTTAAAGCTGTCCCTGAAATGATCCGTGGCAACCCTCACCACCTGGCCCTCTTCTGTCACTACAATACCCTGACTGTCCCTAAACCCTGTCACCACCTGCCTTGCTTTTTTAGCCCGTACCGAGCTGAAAAAAGCAGCAGAACATGTTTCTGACTGCTCAATGAACTCTGAACGTGATCTCGCCAGGAAAGCCCGGGCCTTGCCTTCAGAGACATGTCTGAGCCTTGCCTTCAAAGAGTTGCATACATTTTCATTTATAGTAGAACCACAGTTCCCCTTTGCGTACTCACGCTCTAGGAGTCGCTGCAGATGGGACATCTCCCTCTTTGACCGTCTTGCCTTCCTTTTGCAATAACCTAAGCAGAAGGTCTTAATTCTGTCCTTGGCTACCTCCCACCACTCTAGTATCCCCTGACACAGCGGTTTGAGGCCCAACACTCCCTTAAAAAACAAAGGGAACTGTTGGTTGAAAAACTTTTCCTCCAAAACACTGACATTTAGGCGCCAGTAACCAGGCCCAAAAGTTAGCGCATCCACATCTACTCGAAACAGCAGGCCATCATGGTCAGAAAAGAAAACAGGGATGGTCCTACCTGTGATCAGGTTTAAAGACCTGGAAAAAAACAAATAGTCCAAACGTTTTGCCACGCCTCTTGAGTTACGCCACGTGGGGCTGTCTATGTGTGGCTTGACCCCCTTACCCCCATCTGCCAACCCATATCTAACCATGAGTTGTGAAATATACTGGTCGCTGGCATCCCCTCCCTTCCCCAGCTCAACATTAAAATCACCCCCTATAATTACCTGTCTATTGGTAACAAGGAAAGGCTCCACTAATGAAAACAGATTAGTCCGCTCTGCCGGTGACTGTGGTCCATATACCACAATGACCCGCAGCTTCCTTGTTCCCCAAACAATGTCTGCCCCTATTGCCCTGCCCTGGTCAATAACAAAAACATCCTCCACCCTTATTTCCTTAAAACAAAACAAAATCCCAACCCCCGTAGAGTGAACCCCCCCTACACTCCAAACTGAGTCCCCTTTCGTCCACTCCCTTGAAAACATCCCCACATCCCCCATGTCTCTCAGATGGACCTCTTGCAAAAAAACTATGGCAACATGCAAAGTGCCTAAAAAATCAAAAACAGTCCTTCTTTTAACAGTGTTCCTCATTCCTCTCACATTCAAAGTGAGAACATCAAAATAACGTGTCATGAGGATGAAATGTTAAGCCTTAACAAAGGAAAAATTACCACCTCCATTTTCACGATGCATAGGGGTCTTCACTGAAACTGTCCATCTGGTCGGCCCATAACACAGGAACCACACTTGAAGAGGTGGAGGGACTCACAACGCCCCCTTGTGTGTCATCCCCCAAGGGAGGTGGCTGCAGCAGTGGAGCAGCCGGCAGCCCCCGGTCCAGTGGCAAACCAGACTGGAGCCCAACCCCTACAACCCCTGGGTCCTCCCCCACCATCCCTCCACCCAAACCATGGCCATCGTCCGCTTTACCCCTCCCCTGGTCACTGTCCTTCCCTGGCCCCTCCCTCTTCTGCTGCCCATCTCCTTCATCCACCACCGCCACCACCTCTTTGGCCCGCCCCTTCCTCCTCGTCCCCTCTGTCTTTGGCCTTTTACTGTCTCCGACCTGCGAGCAGTCCCCATTGTCTTCTGGAGCCTCTGTTCCGAAAGCCTCCTGTATTTTACGTATCCCAGGCTTGACACCCAAATCGGCTGCTACAGTTGAGTCCGTATTCCCCGCAGGCCCTCGGCCCACGCTGTCAGACCCCGAGCCGCCGCCCGGTACCCGCTCCACCGCCGCGGCCTCCCCCGTGCCCACCGGAAACATATTCTTCTGGCACTGGATAAGCCCTTCCAGAAGGTCCTCGAACTCCGTTTCCCTCCGGTTGTTGGCCCCGGCTACCTCCGCAAACGTCCTCCTACGCTCAGGACAGCTTCTGTATAGATGGTCGATCCCACTGCAGCCATGGCAGGCCTTGGGCACTGTACAGTCTTTGGCCTCATGTCCTCTTTGGCCACAAAAACGGCAGCTGGCGCCAGCGCACCCTCCCTCAACGTGGCCTGATTGCCTGCACCGCCTGCAGAAAGCTGGCTGACGCGGGTAGAAAAGGTACCCTCGATCTGCTCCAAGGCTGAAGGAGGCAGGCGGGTGCCCGAGGCCGCCAAAACCCTCTGGCCCAGACCCAAGAAGCACCTGGAACTGCCCTAGACCCGTCCAGATCCCCATGGCGTCCCCGACACGTCCTTGCTGCAGTTAGCACTTCCCCATACAGCCTCAAAAAATCAGCCAGCGCTCTGTCAGTCACAAAGGGATTAAACATGTGGACCGTGATTGTCCTGAAATTTGGTCTGTCCAAATTTAAAACCTTGTAGCAGGCTAGCGGCTTTACCATAGCAGCAGCAACACAGTCCTTAGCAACCTTTGTGTATACTTGCTCGTCCTTTAGGGTGACGTCGAAAGCCTTCTCCTGCTGGTTCCATTGTAGGCAGTAGATGACATCAACTTTCAGATGGAGCTGCTCCATGATGACTTTCCTGCAGAACCACGTCCTCGATACGACATCTTCGTCTGCTCCAACTGCCTGGAAGCGCAGTGTGAATCTCAGCCCGACTCTTGGGATCGGCTGTCCGTCATCGGCCCTCCCGGCCATCGCTCCTTTCTCCTCGTGGTTCGAAATGTCCTTCCTGGGAAAAATGATAAGAACAGATACTACACTTGATCTTAGCCAAAAGGCCGAGAAGCGATGACCCTTAACGTTTGCTGCAGGAGACGGACTCGTTGCGCAGTCACCGCCGGTCTTGGTGCGGCTCTTTTGACCTGGCATAAGAGAGGCGCTGCGTAACTGGGTTAACCCTAACCCTAACCCTTTTCTTGTCTTTCACAAACTCAGAATGCTCAGCCAAACGGCCAAGCCTACCAAAAATAGGTTGAACTCGTAGGTGTTCCTCTCCACGGAAGTCTTTAGTAAAAGGCGAAAGACTTATACGCTTTGAAGAGAAACCAGAGTAATTGTGGAGGCCGTCCTCGAGAACAGACAGCACCGCAGTTGTCCCAGTCCAATCCCTCGCGGTGACCCTGACTTGGCTTTTCCACCTCCCAGGCCACACCCTTTCCCCCAGCTGCGCTAGAGCTGCGCGAGCATGGTTCATGGCTCTCACCTGTGGCTTCTTTGGCATTGAGTCCAAAAAAGACCCCTGCTGCTGTGCTGCAGTTTGTGCCCCCGATTGGAACCTATTTCTATTTCAAGCCTTATCTGTCTTTAAGGCTTAGGGTTAAATGTGGTTGATGGGCTGCGTTGGCCGGCTCAGAGGCAGGAACCGCCACGCCGTGTCCTTTGTCGTTGCAAGAGTCCCCTGCCTCTGACCCATCCAACTCATACTTACCTGGCAGGGGAGATACCATGATCACCAAGGTGGTTCACCCAGGGCGAGGCTCGGCCATTGCACCCCGGCTATGCTGACCGCTGCGAATTCCCCAAATGTGGGAATCTCGACTGCATAATTTGTGGTAGTGGGGGACTGCGTTCGCGCTCTCCCCTGATTATAGTGTTGAAGAAAATGTCAAAGACAACCTGGCTACAGCTTGCATGTGTGGCAGCTTCTTTGCTCTAGGAAAGACTTTCTGGTGTCAATGTCCTCCCAGAGCGTGTCCTTCCTTTGGGCTCTAAATATCTCTGTCCCTTGCAGTGAGCCTCACTCTGCGTGCCACGCTCCAGAGCCAAGGCAAGTTCAATTTGTCACCTTTAGCTTCTCTGGCATAGAGTCCAAAAAAGGATCTGCTGCCGATGTGCTGCAGTTTCTGCCCTCAAATGAAACCATTTGTTGTTGTTTCGAGATGCGTCTGTGTTTGTTTTTCGACAAGGCAGGAGATGGGTGCACCGTTCCCGGAGGCGCTGCAATACCGGGTCGATGCGTGGAGCGAACGGGGCAAGCCCCTCTTTCGGCTCCCAGTGCTAAAAATCCATTTAATATATAGTCCCCGTATAGGGGACGTATCAGATATTAAACTGATAAGAACAGATACTACACTTGATCTTAGCCAAAAGGCCGAGAAGCGATGACCCTTAACGTTTGCTGCAGGAGACGGACTCGTTGCGCAGTCACCGCCGGTCTTGGTGCGGCTCTTTTGACCTGGCATAAGAGAGGCGCTGCGTAACTGGGTTAACCCTAACCCTAACCCTTTTCTTGTCTTTCACAAACTCAGAATGCTCAGCCAAACGGCCAAGCCTACCAAAAATAGGTTGAACTCGTAGGTGTTCCTCTCCACGGAAGTCTTTAGTAAAAGGCGAAAGACTTATACGCTTTGAAGAGAAACCAGAGTAATTGTGGAGGCCGTCCTCGAGAACAGACAGCACCGCAGTTGTCCCAGTCCAATCCCTCGCGGTGACCCTGACTTGGCTTTTCCACCTCCCAGGCCACACCCTTTCCCCCAGCTGCGCTAGAGCTGCGCGAGCATGGTTCATGGCTCTCACCTGTGGCTTCTTTGGCATTGAGTCCAAAAAAGACCCCTGCTGCTGTGCTGCAGTTTGTGCCCCCGATTGGAACCTATTTCTATTTCAAGCCTTATCTGTCTTTAAGGCTTAGGGTTAAATGTGGTTGATGGGCTGCGTTGGCCGGCTCAGAGGCAGGAACCGCCACGCCGTGTCCTTTGTCGTTGCAAGAGTCCCCTGCCTCTGACCCATCCAACTCATACTTACCTGGCAGGGGAGATACCATGATCACCAAGGTGGTTCACCCAGGGCGAGGCTCGGCCATTGCACCCCGGCTATGCTGACCTATGCTGAAATCTGATTTTGTCAGAAATCGGGAGAAATATGACCCCGGGAGGAAACCGGGAGAGGGCAATGAAATCGGGAGTCTCCCGCGAAAATCGGGAGGGTTGGCAAGTATGCATACAGTATACCAAGTTAAGCTTAAACTCAAGTTTCAAAATACATCCCACAAATGCAGCATCACATGAGGTGGCAATAGGTGTTAGGTACAGATATCTTTTTGTTATTGCGATTTAATTGAGGTTGATCTATGAAGTCTAGGTGTTTTGTTGTCTTGCCTATATAATTGACTCCATACTTTATGTGTAAGGAATAGTTTGATAAATATTAACATGTTGTGCTGTAACGTTAAATGAATTTAACTTTGATTCAAAAACCTAAGTTTATTCCCCGCATATTCATTATGGGACAGTGTCATATCTAAAGCAGTTCTTGAGTATAAAGTTTAAATATGCTGCATGACGTTGTTGCATGAGTTGCTTCGAAGTTTACCCCTAGGGTCAGGGATTGCTTTAGGTAGACCACAATATTAATGATATCAACCTCTCGTACAATATATGGACAAGTGCCAAATCATTTTGATGTAATCGACCTACTGCCCAACGCTACAATGTAAGACCCTTTCTGTGTGTAAACAAAATGACATGAGTTTTATTTTGTGATTTATCAAATGTATAGTAAGCCTGCTGTTGCTTTGCATTTTTGTGTGAAAAAGGTATAACCATAGAGTAACCACATGTCTGTTCAGGAATGAAAGACTGTATTTTTCTAAATGTTTAATATTTATTTATATCCAAGTACCTAAGGATATACACATACCCAAGTATCCCATTTTCCTTTCATATTTATGAAGTTGTAGGTGAAATTGTTATTTAGATTAAGCTATTGTTGTTATTATTATTTACCTATTGGAACAATCATTATTCCCAAAAATGCAAGAAGTGCAATTAGGTGTTTTGAGATATTGTATAAGCATGACTTGTCAACAAGTTACCTACAATAATCTTTTAGGAAGATATCGGAAAACACTCTTGACTTTCATAAATATAAAAGCTGCAAATCTCAGAGAACAAATGTCACTGTGTGTGCTGTGTGCTCTGCATGTGTGACCATTAAAGAGGGTTTCATCCCTCCGATTCGATCTATCTATTTTATTACCTGGCCCCTCCGTGGTGGTAGCCTGTCTCAGATCATCCCGCTGGGGCTGCTCCTCCTGCCCCACCTCTATGATGGTGCACTGCTTCACGGGGGGGTCTTCAGCACCTCCACCTGCACGGTGCTTGTCTCTGGCACCTGGCTCTCTGACGTCCCTGCCTCCTGCCCTACCTCTTTGGTGGTACACTGCTTCACGGGGGGGTCTTCAGCACCTCCACCTGCACAGTGCTTGTCTCTGACGTCCCTGCCTCCTGCCAGTTGTTTTCTGGTTCAGATGGGTCACAGGGTGTGAGGTTCAGCGTGACTGTCTCTTCCTCAGGATCTTCCGCAACCCCCTGGCCAGTGGAGTCCTGTGTCCAACCTGTGCAAGTTAAACAAATGTTGGTCTTGACTTGCTTAAGACAAAGAGGTTAACTCATATATCTAGAAATAAGAAATACAGCGTGCTTAAGGTATGTTTCCAGACAGGGTCAAAAATATACTCGTCATGTCGTAGGACTGTGTGCAGTCAAAGTTAATAGCAGTAATAGTGGTATTTATCCAGTCAACCATTTATGGTTTTGTTTTTGCGATATTATTCTTCCGATTTGTGTCTACAAATGTCAATTTGTCGGTAGACAACATATAGACGTGTGCATGTATGTTCCCTTACATTATTTACATCCACACATTTTGTTCAGAATTTATAAGACTGACGCAAACGTGTTTTGCATAAGTGCAATCAAATAAGTAGCAAGTCGCTTTGGATAAAAACGTCTGCTAAATGTAATGTAAAGGGACCTCTGGATGCACTGGATAACTGCTTTTGTTTACAACCCGAGAAACATGACCTTAATACAGAACTGCCAAACTGAATATGTGGTCAACTGGGATCGTCTTCATGTATTGTGCTCTTACCATTAACCTCAAAACATTTCTCCCTTTTGGGCGTTGATAAAGCAAACAGTTTAGGAACGGTTTGCTAAAAGGAAATTGCTTAAGGGATGGCTCAAGCCTAAAACTACATTTCAGTCATCAAACCCAACTACCTTGACATTAACAACTTTCAATTTGTATACAATGAATGCGCAAGTGGTAGCACAATACCCCAAAATGGTTTTTCAAATTCAAGTAAACTTGCCTACCTATTTCCTGATAAATAACAGTTAAATGTCCACAAGTCCCCTCTGCAGAGTAAGCCATGTCTCATTAGGCTACATACTCAGTGTTTAAAAATGTATTTATTGTATGTAGTTTGCTAAAATAATAAACAGTCAAACGTTGTCCATATCCCTAAATATTTTGCAATTACTTTCAACTTTTGTAATACTTTGCAGCTAAAAATAGTGACAGTTAACAGGTAGAAAGGATGTGTGTTAGTTGTCTCACAAAAATATAGTTTGCCAAACCCAAATAAATGGCTCGAATGAATGCTTTCTGGCTGTATCAAAGGATAAATACTGGATCAAGTTGTTGTCCCACAAGATTTGGATGGATTGAAAACAGTCGCTGTAAGTTGTTGTTAACTTAACTGACTTTATTAAATGAGTTGATCCAAACTCATTCCATATAACTGTGTTGGTTATAAGGAAATGTTAAGCTCTCCAACGTTTATACTGTCAGGGAGGTAAGGACTCGTTGACTGAACATGTTTTAGGGGTGAACCATCCCTAGAAGAGTTTAACATTGATACAAACATTTTGTGTACACAATACTGTGAACTGTGAAGATATAGTGCAAGCATCTCACCTTCACAAAGGAACTCATAAAAAGTGCCTATCTTATCCTGGGCATAGGCGGTCAGTGTGCAGCGAGGGGTTAGGATTTCACATTTGACCTCCTTCTTCCTGGTCTCCTTGCCAAGAAGCAGCACTGGTTTAAAGCCAATGGCATGGAGTTTCTCAAGCTGTAATGACAAAATAATATATTTACTGTTTAAAGAAATGGAAAGGAAACAACTATATAACTACAACTATAACATTACTGATGACAGCATCTAGTTGTATGCCATTCATAAACCTAGATGCTGAGTTTAGCTTTTGCAGAATCATGTATTTACCAGGAAGGGTTACACAGTAGAAGCAGAACAATATTTTATAGACAAACACAAAATACAAATAAATCAGTATCCTGAGTCCCAGTTCAAACCCTGATAATCTTAAAGTTAAAGTACAATAAGATGCAAATGTGTGACCACTCAACAATTAACAGGTAACACTTTGTGTACACAATGAGTATTGCATAATTAAAAATGTAACACAATCCAAGCATAGCTTGACACTGTTGAAATTGAAATTGCGTGCTGCAATGTAAAACGTTCCCGTATGTTGTGGCTGCAGTCGTAAGAGTAATATAGAGTAGTAACATACAATGATGTAGTCTTATTAAAGGTGGGGTAGGTAAGTTTGAGAAACCGGCTCGAGATACACTTGTTGTTATATTCCATGGAATGCTCTTAACATCCCGATAGCAATGAATATCTTAAGTGCTTTGACAA